GGTGTTGCAAAGAACAAGCTGGAGCATGATCTACGCAAGTTGGGAATGTGTGACATTTACTCCCAACTTGAGGGGGAGTGTTGAGTTGGTCCGAGTTGTTTTTTATTTAGTTAGGAAGTTGTTGGGCTTTAGGCCCATTAGTTTATGTTTTTTTAAGTTGTGATTGTTCAGCTATATTAGTAGCCGCCCTACCAAGGGAATCCTTGTAATATCTCATCATTTAAGTTAAGTATAAATATAATGAGAGGTAGGCGGATAGGGTTAATTTTACAATCCTGGTTGACTTCCTACTCTTTTYTTCTTCTCCTTTCTTCTCTACTGCTGAAATCTTCATCTTCCCCCTCTTTCCTTTCACAAGAAACTCGACTAAATCTGCAATTAGTGATTTCTATTACTTCCTTTTATGGGAAAAGATTGGCTTGTCTTGCAAAGCAAGAAAACAAAATTACAACAATTCTATTCCATCCTTGTCCCTTTGGAATCTACTTTGGAAGGTTTACAATCTAGTGTCTTCTTCCTTGTGCCTGCTGAACTCGGGTTGGTATGGACTTGCATATGGACCAAGAGTAAATAGGCTTCCATTGAGCAAAGCTACTATAGTTGTGGGGCATTTAGGCACTTTGGTAGCCAAGTGGATATGGGCTTAAGGCCCCAAGAGCAAGGCCCACTGATGCTGCACCACAAGATCTTCAGCAAGAGCAAGAGAATTCATCACCATGGGTCTAGTTGAGCCTGATGATGGATAACTGGTATACTTGATGAAATGAGAAAAGCAGCTTTTTTCACCCATCCAATCACAACTTTTCATGCTAACCCTCTTGTACTCGAACAAGCAAAATTTAAGTATAAATGTATAATCATGATTTACTCTCATGATAATTTGCAAGCTTTCAGTTACTACTGTCATAATATAAACCAATAATTATTAGTTAATACTTTTCCTTTCTGAGAATTTTGTTTGGAAATATAACATATTACATCAATTTATATTCTTGTTATTAGCATATAATAAAACTTGATATCATTGATACTATTTCTTCCATAGTATGAAATGAGCTTTTTCTTCTACACCATAAAATGTTAATGACTTACAGAATAGAGGATCAGCCAAAACCAACAACTGTTTGCCATCTTAGATTCTTATTTTTATTTTAATGATCAATGCAAGGCTGTCTACAAGTGTATGTTGTGGATCAAGGCAGCAATGAATTCTATGGCGAAAAGCTTTATTGTTATATTTGATTAGCTAAGTAACTTGGTATTTTATAAATAATATCAACCTTGGAGCTCTCTATGCTGAAAAAGAGTTGGGTCCAAAAACAGACTATATTGCATCTTTCTGATAATTATCTTACGAGGCATGCTACCATGTGTCATGTATGGTTTGTCAGTAAATTTCATGACAGTGCAGAGTGCAGACACGGTATGATGCCTGTCTGCTTTGTCCATTAGTGTCAGATGTCGTGGGTCCCATATATTTGCAGTGGGTTGAAGTTAGCTGCTACTCTTTGCAAAGCCTGCTAGAATTCAACATCTTTTTATTCTTTAACTTAAGAATTAAATTTTGGCATGTTTTCTGTGCGTGAAAGCCTATAGGATATCTGCATGCACCTTGAGAAAGCTATGGTCGTTCTTTTTTGCTCAAAATAGCTGCGGTTAACATCTTTTCTTACCAGAGCACAGATGATATTCACTTAACTGCAAACTTTATCTAAAATTCACTTCACTTTTCAATGTGGCAGCAGAACTCAGTTATTGCAAGTTTAAGATAAAAGGTTTCTCTATTGACATTCTATAGCCTTTTCTGCCACGAATGTCCATCACTTATCTAAAGACGGTCTAGAAAATTTGTTGGATGGTTACATTTCCTCTTCATCTGAGGATACTAAACCATGCCATATGGCCTCTTTGGGGTTCTTTCCAAGATCTATTCTGTTGCAAGAAGTACTTGATGCATCCATTCTTTTCTTTCCTGCACTTAATGTTTAATAAGAATGTTTTTACCTAAAGGTGTTTTCCCAACCTATTCAGCTAGGGGTGCTATTCTTGCCATCTGTCAGCAAAGATCATTACTGTGGATTTTCTTGTACAGATAATGGAGATACCATCAAGGTAAACAACTATAACCTTCACCTCCTACAACATTGGAAAATCATTTCATTTTTTTCTTTGAAGCACTTGCGTATCCTGAAACAAAATCATTGGAAAATCATTTTTTTCTTTCAGAAACCTTGTTTGTAGCTTTGTCATGTCTTAGATGATTTGTTCAAGTGCTACGAGGAACAAAAATTCCAAATGCTATGTGCAACAAAATAAAATTAATTTCCGGATGATCTTCTAACTTAGCACTGGTGTTTTAGTATCAAGGTGTTAGTTAACGAGAATCCCCAGCTTATGGCTTATGTGAATTTCAGACTCACGAGATTATGTTTTGTTTTGCTTTGTCCACGTTCTGCTCTTTGGGTCCAGGATCTCCATAAATCCTCCGAAACTAATACCCAAGGACACAGAACAAAATTAGTGACTCTGCGTTGGCAAGGAAACCAAAGTTCAAATTCTTCATCTGAAGTAATTCAATTACCCGTGCCATATGAACTTCCTCCACAACCCTACTCACCTGAAGGTATTTTTTGGTTATTTCCAGTTCTTTTGTATTAATTCTTTGACTGTCATGAATCTTATGATTGGTTTTTGTTCCTCTAGCGTCCTTTTTAACTTTTTGTTCCCCGTCTCTGGCCCTTTTTCAGACGTGCCTTGGTCATGGGACAGGCGATATTACAAGAAAGATGTTTACGGTCAAGTGTGGCCACGATAGGTTTAGCTCTATTCCGTGTTCAAGCGTTGCCACCCACAACAAAACCGAAAATAGATTTAGCTCTAGTCAGTGAAAAATGTATTCCAGTTTTCAGTAGCAGAGCTTAGAATCTTTGTAATTCCTTTATTCTCCAAAAATTGTTTCTTTTGATGTTAAGAAGAAAACGATTTTTATTTTTATTTTTATAGAAAGCCCCAACGCCGATTCCATTTTTCCATCAAAAGATCACGTCTCATTTAGAAACAATGACCTATCAAAATGAGGTGGCGAAGACCATTGTTTTACGGTATCTACATGCAAAAGAAACTTGTTCGTAAGCTGCCTTAATACATAAACGAGATGCATGAGTATAGGATTTATCAAAACTGAAAAGTAATGATAATCTCTCTAGTCTTCAGCAGAGTTTACATCTGCCCCCCAACTGAACGTGCCCCAAAAATGTCCCACATGCACATCTTAGTGTGCGTGCATTGAGAACATATCCTGGGAGATAATCTAAATACACGGTTAGGATGTGCTGTGGGACGTTTTTGGGACGCATTCTGTGGGGGGCAGATGTGACTTCTCTTCAACAAGAGATGCAATATGCCACAGAGCCTTGAGTTCGTTAGAGGAAAGTAATTTGATGACCCTTGCTGCAACACTCTTTAAGCAAAATGAGATTCATCTTCATATCCTTAGCCGAGCAGTCTTTCAAGAACCACCACAATTGAACATCAGGATTCACGAAGAGGTAATCCATTTATTTACTAAATTTCAAATATAGTTTAAGGAGTCGTGTCCGGTTACAACTTGAAAGTAATTAAATCGAAAATTGTTGGTTAATATAGGACTGAATCCACTGTTTGCATTGGAAAAAATCCAGTATTGTTCAGCACATGCATCCTCCTACTAATCCAGTAAGGAATGGTTAATATTCTAATGTATCTTAGACAGGATTGGACTACAGCAGGCAGAAACATGTCAGTGAATAAAGATAATTTTGTTAGGAGGTCTAACAGCTGAGGAAAATCTGGCAAAGGGACTTGGTAGTTGAGTGGCCCGTGCAAGAGAAAGTGGCCAGAGCTAAGGAAAATATATGGATAAACATTTCAAGATGATCTGCAGTGAATTTGCAAATGGAAAAAGAGGACTGGGGAGTGGAGAGAGAGAGAGAGAGGACTGGGGACTGGGGAGGAAAATAAATTATAAATTACTAATTTTTTTTCTCTATGGTCATTGAAGCCAATGCAAGTAATCGCATTATATGGTAAAGAAGATAAGGTAGCTCTAATCAAAAGGCCAAAGTTATAGAAACCCTAATTTCATATAGTACATTTACAATCCTATGATGCTACAAGTATGAAAAAGAAGGGATATACCTATTCTTTTCTACAATCCTAATAAATAATTTTACTGGAGAAATTGGGTGCAAAATTTCATTTGAGGCCTGGACAACATTTTGGTACTGGTCCTACAGGATCTTTTTCTTCTCACAATACCCATGTCGATGGGGGAGCTTTTTCATAAGATATAGTAGGGATCAATGGTAAGACTTTAAAACCATCGTTGAACTGGACAGTCAAACTGGTCAGCTCAGAAATCGGCCAGGGTACTGGTCTCGTTTCAACCCCGAACTATTATTTTTCCAAAAAAATTGTAAAATTAGGCGGTTGAATCATCAACCTGTTTGACCTAGACAATGGTTTTTGAGTCAATTTTTATTTTTTATGTTTTTTTAAAAAACATTGTGTTGATTCATTGGGGTTGGATGGTTGAACCACTGACCCATGCAATAGTTTTTAAAATATTATGAGCTACCTTTTAAAGCAGTTCTAATTCCAGACCTTTTTTCAAAACATTGATGACAACACACACAATCTATGCTGCATCTGCTATACCATGCCGCAAAAGACATGAATCAATTACATCTTTGGTTCATATTATGTGAAAGTACACTTGTGAAAAGTGAACCAATGAAAAGTGAGATGATTCTAACATGATTGGTTGAGATCTGGATTTAATGTGGCAATGAATTTATCATAGTTGAATTCTATAGATAGATAGATAGATAGAAAGATAGATAGATATAATTCACTGGCCCTCTCCTTGATCCCTTTCCCCTTTTCCACATGCTCCTTAACTCTCTCTTTCTTCCTTTTCTCCTTTCTAGCCCTCTCTTTAGTGCCATGTTAGCGCCTTCCTTTTTTCCTTCTCTATCCCCTTTCATTATATTTTTAAGAAATGAAACCTGTCAAAATGGGGAATTTTCCAATATCAAAAGTCTTAACTTTTTTAAGTCATAAGAAGTTTTTTACATCTGGAAGGTACAGAGCGAAATAGATCTTCCATCCAATTTATACCAGGTATGGCCAATCTGTGTTTTCTATTCCTTTATCACAAAGAACTTTGAACAGGGTCACACTCATTTCAAAATTTTTTATTCATTGGGCTGGCTGCCTGGCTTCATGTTGGAAATCAGATTCTGAGAGAGCAGCCAGCATCCACAAAAGGGTGTCAATTGGACCAGATTTGGTCTAATCTAATCCATTCCAATATGAGTCCATTACAAATGGACCAGGTCCAATCCAATCCGGTGAAGACTTTGGACCATTTTGGACCAGTCCAATTCAATGTTTGGACTGTCCAATCTGTTTAAATTGGTTTTAATTTAGATTTGTTCCAATCAAAACCTAGTCCATTGACACCTGTATTCTTATCTTTTATCAATGGACTAGATATTGGTACAATTTGACCTAATCCAATATAAATCCATTATAATTGGATCAAGTCCAATCTAATCCAATAAGACTGGACTTGTTCAATTCAATATCTCTTATTGGCCCGTTCAATCCATTCAAATTGATTTTGATTTGAATGGGTCCAATTCAAAACCAGTCCATTGACACCCCTATCCATAGTTACTTAGATGTGATAAGGATGGGGTTGTATTTAGGGGTGATCATGGGCCGGGTCCGGGCCAGGCTTTGCACTTATGATAAGGGCTATAGCTGAGTCTCAGGCCCAGCCTGGCCTGGGGTTCCAGGCCTATAACATAAACCCTAACCCAAGTCTACACGGGCCCAGGCCAGGCCGGGCCTGATTCCGAGCCAATGTTTTTCATATATAAAAACATTACACATGTATAATATTTTATATTAAATGACATGATATGCATATAAACTTTTATTTTATATATTATATAATATAAAAATATTACATATAATATAAATTATACATGTCATGTTATAATATTTATATATAAAATATATAATATAATGTAAAATAACATGTATACGTATGTATACCTTATACATAAAATGTGTAAGTTTAAATATATGCGGGCCGAGCCGGGGCCAAGCCGATCTTGGAATATTAAGCCCAAGCCTGGCCCTAAAATTTGCGGGCTTGATGTGGGCCCGGGCCTGGGCCGGGCCTGAACACAAAACCTAGGCCCAAGCCCGGAATTTCCAGGCCAAGTCGGGCCAGGCTGAAATAATCACACCTAGTTGTATTGACCCTACATTGCTGATAGAATTCAGGTAAGGGAAGTAAGTATTATGGGTTAGATTATTCTAGAGGTGTAAACGGGCCATGTCGGGCTAGCATAGCACGGCCCGCGGGTAGCCTACACAAAGTGTGGGCCGTGCCGTGTTGACCAATGGGCCACCCCAGGCCATGCCGCCCTCCCTTAGAAAACTTGGGGGCCGGCCTGGCATGGCCCAAGCCCATGCGAGCCCATGCTGTGCCGTGGGTTGGGCTAGCCCATGGGCCAAGCTAGGCTGTGGATCGGACCAAAACTATTTATTTAAAAAAATTGAAAAAAAAAACTTAAAATTTTAATTTTCTATGAATTCTGATGCATACAATTGCATATGTATACAATAATTAAATAAATTAGTATAATAAAATTGAAAATAATTGTTTATTCTATTAATATATTATATACTATATTATTATATAGTTATAATTTATATAATATATTATATATTATATATAAATATTATATATATAATAATAAATAATATATGGGTCGTGCCAGGCCAGGCCAGCCCGCAAACCTAAAACCCTAGGCCCAGCACGGCCCACATGATCGTGCCGAGCTCGGCACAGCCTGCGTGCCATCATATCGGGCCGCAAGTGACACGGCCCAATTTAATCATCTAGATTATTCACACCAAACCGAATCGGTTTATTAGGTTATTATTGGCATGAAATAGTATTAATTAATTTACTTAATTTATTTATAAATTTAAGCTCGGCACAGCCTGCGTGCCATCATATCGGGCCGCAAGTGACACGGCCCAATTTAATCATCTAGATTATTCACACCAGACCGAATCGGTTTATTAGGTTATTATTGGCATGAAATAGTATTAATTAATTTACTTAATTTATTTATAAATTTAAACATTAAGTTATTAGGTTGCATATTAACACCTAAAATGATGCAAATTTACTTCAATTGAGTAACGGTGTTTTATTTAATTTTATATCAAAAAGCAATAAATTAACAGTGTATATATAAACCAACCTTTACTCATAAAGGTTGGCTTTTATTCACAATAAATTAATAGTATACCATTAACAGTAATTAACTTTATTTAGCAAATTAACAGTATTTTTACTTTTCTCTAATTTCTATTACTTGATAGATAGGTAGAACTCAATGATTTGTGTTAATTTACACTAATTTCTGTTACTTGACAATAATTTCTATTAATTTGTTAAATATAAATTACAGAATTTTATTTAAGAGCATTTGCAAGAAACTGAAGGAATTGCAGAAATTTTCCATAAAATTGCAAAAAAAATGCAGAAAAATGTAAAATTTTCAAGACAATGCAGAAATTTGAAAGAAATACTGAAAATGCAGAATTTTTTGCAACTTCTTTTAATCTCATTTTGAAAAGAGGTGGCTGGAAAGAAGATGAACATGTATTATATATAGAAGAAGTTTCGTTGTTTTTTCTTTCTTAATTTATTTCTTACATTATTTTTTCTTGCGAGGCAAATGAGCAAATGATGTAAGGTTTACATTTCCTTTGATTATATCTCTCTCTCTCTCTCTCCCACACCACAAAAAAAGGATGAAATGGAAAGAGAAGAAGAGAGTACAAAAAGTTGGTCATGTTTAATTGCTATGTTCTCTCGCAAATTAGTTTGTCGTGAGCGTATCAAATGGAGAGAGACAGGATCTGAAACGATGACAGCTTCAACAATGTTTGGTTGGTGAGATTATATAAAACCCGTCCCGTTGAGATTTTATCTTTCCACAATTTCTAATTTCGGACTCGCTGGAAACCGCCTCCAAAAATCGTCAAATTGGTAAAAGTTTTCTGCTACGTAACACTAACACTCCCGTCATTTATTCCAAGTAAACAATCAAAAGTTACTCATAAGATATTAATGTCCGGATAACTGAAAATCATACAGGGTACGTGTATTAAATGTTCAAATTCAAAACTACCATAAAATTGCAATCATGTCGGTGTGAAATCCAGCAAACCATACCATTGCGGCTGGAAAAGATGTTTCTCCCAAGGTATCGGGTTTGCAGTTAACCTTACCAATCTTCATCCATGAATATAGGATAAACTCACAAACAGAAGAGGCAGAAGGGACCCAGGTGAGTTCTGTAACTCTCAGCCATGGATGTGACATTCGAGATCCCAAAAGGAAAGCAGTTCACCATTGAGGTGGGTTTCTTTGACACTGTGATTGAGATAAAAGAGAAGATCAACAAGTATCAAGGGGTCCCCGTTTCCAAACAAACCTTGGTTTTCAATGGCGAAGTCATGGCCGATGATAAAAACACCGAGTTCTATCAAGTCCTACAAGGGTCTCGCATTCAACTTAAGCTTGAACCAGAAGCAGCAAAAACTGTTGTTAAGGTAGAAGAGTCGGTGCCATCAACCAAAGTTCAACTCCCTATAAGGGTGCCCTCCACCAAGAAACAGTATTCCCTTGAAATGGATGTTAATGATTGCGTTGGCCAATTGAAAGAGAAGATTCAAGAAGTGGAAGAAGTTTGTGTTAGTCGACTTGTATTACTTCATTCCGATATCCAATTACAAGATGCTCATCGATCACTTGGTGATTATGGACTCTCCGATTTATCAGAGGTGACTGTCATTTTTAAACCCTTCTCTTCTACTACACCACCACCGCCAACGCCAACGCCAACGCCAACGCCAACCCCAACCCCAACCCCAACCCCAACACCAACAACAATAACAAGTGCAGGAGGTAATTCAGTGAATTCGAAAAAACTGAAGTTGTTGATTCTGCCAAAGTGTGGTACGAAGAAAATTCAAATAGAGGTGAACCCTTCAGATAATGTTGGGGAATTGAGGAAAGAACTGCAAAGGTTGCACAAAAATCGTCACCTTCATCTTCCTAGTGAAGGATACTTCTTTATCTATAAACAGAACGTAATGGATGATGATCGCTCGTTTCGTTGGCACAATGTGCGACAAGGTGACACAATAGAGATCTTTAATGGGACTGTAACTGGTGGATCCTGAATCTTCTCTTTTATTAATTGTTGTTGAATTTTCTTCTTCTTCTTCTTCTTCTTCTTCTTCTTTTGACATAAGATAATACAATCAATGTAGGCAGAAATTACTGTGTGGTTTTAATTTGCTTAATTAATTGGCTTCTTAATTAAAGCCATATTAAGTTCAATTATCATCCAATACACGACCCAGTATTATCTATTATATATGTTGGTTCAATGTATATTTGGGCTGCAGATGGATTGGATTTATATACACAAATGACAAATCCAACCTACGCTTCCTCAAAAACATTGTTATAGTTTGTATTAATTATCAAAAAATATAGTTCAATGTGGTGATTTATGAATTATTGTAGCTTGATTTCATCACTTGTGAATCTTTAACTTCATAAAAGATAATACTTTTAAATCTCTCGTATCCCTTTAATAAAACACAGAAAATAGGTCCCAACTCCAACAAATGTTAGAAAAAGTAGCAGGCCCAACGCGTTTCAGATTGGGAATTAATGTTTGGCCATTTCACGCATTTTGGGTTCACCAAATTGAAAAGAAATACTTTAATTGCTTCTAAAATGGAGCGTGGGAGCTAGGTTCTATTGCATCTCATCATACTAATTATGATGTTGGTTTAGCTTCAACGACCAGGTTTAAGCTCTGGTTTTGTCGTGCACAATCATAAGATGCATGAGTTAAACATGCAACTCACAACACTCTTTCCTTTTATCATGACTTCCACAGGAAAAATAAAACTTCAGTTTCTAAGAATAACACAATCAAGAGATGCATGAGAGGCATATTCCATCAAACTGTGAGGAAACAAGTAGTCCCATATATCAAGTCTAATGTGAGCCCTTTGCAAATCGACCAAGTCCAATCCAATCCAATGAATATTTTGAACCAATCAATCTGTTCAAAAATTTGTTTTAATTTAGATTAATTCTTACCCATACCTGGTCTATTGACACCTATATATATATTCCTATCTTTTATCAAAGGAGATATTGGCTCAATCTAACCAATCCAATATATAAATTCATTACAGATGGACCAGGTCCAATCTAATCCAATAAATACTTTGAACCATTAAGTCTGGGCTGATCCGATTCAATATGTCTTGTTGGTTCTTACAATCTGTCCAAATTGATTTTGGTTTGGACAGGGTCCAATCTAAAACCGGTCCATTGACACCCCTAGCTCAAGTGAGACAATATTCATGGTTTCAAACGAAGAGGGGCAACTATGCATAATCGATGTATTTTCAACCGTGACTCTTAGTTCAAGTAAGAAGGTGGAAAGGCAAACCCTCTGGCTTTGTGGATTGAAAATAGGAGATGATTATAATGTTGGAGTTTTATGAGCTCTAAGATGGAATGCTAATTGATCTTGATCGATCGATCTCACGTATCAGCACATGCGCCAGGTGGAACAAAGAATAAGAAACTCAACTGCAATGGTGTGGATTCTTCATGCATGGGTGTTTTCTCTCAACCCAACCCAGCGAAGTTGCATCAGTTGGACGACCCAAGAAGAGTTGTAAAGTGTTTGATTTTTTTATTTTATGGGCAAAGTGTTTGATAAGATTAGCTCGGGTTGGATATTTGATTGTGTTTGACTTTGACGGTGTGGATTTGTGCCTGGATTGTCTCTCAAGTTTCAACCAAACCGAACTGTGTTTGCATCTCCAGATAATTGAAGTTCTTTCATGGTTATCCTTATCTCATTTATATTACGCCGATACTGGCTTTGGCTTCACGTCAGACCACCATGTCAAATACCTAATTCATCCATTATCCAACTCAGAATTTCTAAATCCTTAGCGACAAAGTAAGGAAGTCCTTATGAAAAGGTCAAAGCGATGAAGCTTGTGATGGTGCCAGTTACTTGCTCTTGAAGTCTGGCTGGTTGTAGTCGGTCGGACCGGAAAAACCGGGAATTGGTCATTTGACCGATATTGTTTTTTCTTAAAACTGTTGATTTTGGTCAATAAACCATTGAATCGGATGATTAATCGTTCAAACAGTTTTAACTATTTTTTATTTTTTTTGTCAGAATGATTGATCGTTCAGATCGAACGATCGGACCATTCAAACCGATAACCCAACTCTTAACCGATTCAGTCACCGGTTCGTTTTTAAAAACCATGATTGTAGCTGTGACTTGGGATTTTGCCTTCACCGTATATTTAAGGTTGTAAATAAATTGGATTAGATCCTATTTGAATTCGATCTAGTAAGAGTCGGATTTGGATATTTCATTTGATCCTAATAAATCAGATCAAATTGAAAAAGTTGATCCATTTAGTTAAATGGATCTTATTTAAATATTCTCCAATCTGATCCGCCATAACCTGATTCGATTTGTTAGTTATTTAATATTATATATTATAATTTACATTATATCATCAACTTTTTCCACAATTCAAATCGATCAGATTCGAAACGTATATCTGATGAGATATTCGAATCATAGTATTAAAAATCCGATTGGATTTTTTATCAAATCCGGTTGGACATACCTCTTACTGAATTCAATTTAATCTGTTTCTAACCCTACGGATATTTTCTCATGCATTAAAAAAAAAAAAAAAAAAAAAAATCTAAGGGGTGGTCTATCCCTAAACCCATAAACCACCCAACCCTAGTTCAGGAGGGATTCATTCCCAAGTCTCCGCTACAGGCAGAAGGAACCCTTACCAACGAATCAATCTCTCTCTTTTTTTATATTTTTTTATTACAAGTTGACCTATTCATGAGCTGAATAGCCGGTCGGGCTTGCCTGGCTCAGGCCATTCTAAACTAGGCTTGGATATGATTTTAGGCCCGTGGGTTTGAGCTCGAGCCTAAAACATTGGGCCTGACCTTTTTTGAGCCAACTTGGGTTTTCTCAGAAAAGCCCAGCTCGAGTTCAAGCCCGACTTGATAATATATATTATATAATAAAAACTGTCTGAATCTCATTAACAAAGAATCAAGTTCAATATGTAACAGAATATTGTATTTAATAAAAAATACATATACAACATTTTTTCTTTGTTTATGTTCTCTTTTTTCAAGTATTTGTGAGATCTTTTATTACTTTTTGGTTTTGAGGGTTTTTAATATAGGGTAAATCTATGATGCAGGAAAGATATGGTATAGAAAGAGTTTTGACCAATCAAAACCCACCCATGAATTTTGATAAAAAAAAAACCCTTTATTTGCTACCACATTTATGATTCCACTTTATTGGTCAGTTGTTTTTCAGATATCATATCTTTTCCCTATCATAGTGGCACCCTTTATTATATCTTTTCCATATCATATCTTTTTTAGATACCATATCTTTTCCATAAATAAAACACTTTTTCTATTGAATAAAAAAGAAAAAAAAATCTGTTTTCAAATTTCTGACTGGGCTCGGGCTTTATTTGAGGGTCGGGTTCAGGCTCGAGCCTAAATGTATTTTGTTGATGCAAAGAAAAAGCCTGGTCTGAACCCGACTGGTGAATAGGCCTAATTATAAGGCTACAGTATTCTTATTTTGTGTAGGCTTAAATACTACCTCTTCTAATAAAGCTTCAATCTCTGAGTGGTGAGTGTCTACACCTAGACTAATTAATTAATTTTGAAGAACAAACAGATCGAATAAATAAATGTTGATTCTAACACATCTGTAGCTTTGGAAATCTTAAATATCTCAGCATTAGGGGTGGATTCGAGCCAAGTCGAGTCGAATAGTTGGCTATTCAAGCTCGGCTCACGGGAATAGTATCAGGCTTGAGCTCAATTCAAGCTAGAGACTTGAGCTCGAGCTCGCCTTGGTTCATAACTTGCAAGTTCGAACTCGACTATAAGCCAAATTTTTTTTTTGAAAATAAAAATTATGTATAAAAATATTTAATATTATTCATAAAGAATAAATATTATTATATATATAATAAAATTATTTATTATATAACAAAATTTATTTATTTAATACTAGGCTCGCGAGCCTCACGAGCCGAGCTTCACTAGGCTCGAGCTCGACTCGATTAGCAAACGAGCCTATATATCGGGCTCAAATTCGACTCGAAGCTCAATTTTAACCGAGCTGAGCCAAGCTCGAATAGCTCGTGAAAGGCTCGTCTCATGGCCACCCCTACTCAGCAAGATGGGAGACTGGTCTCAATCACACCTGATCAATTTTTCTTCACCAATGATGGTGATTCTCTTTGGACTACTTAGGCCCTGTCCATATTCACTTACTTGGGTAGTTGAGTTTATTCGGGCAAAAGTTGCCCTAGTAAGATTGGTGTCAGCGTTCTTATGTAATTTGATGCACTCGGTTTGGTCAATGAACCTACTCTAAAATTATACATATACATGTATTTCTGCAAATATGTATGCAAAATTTATATACATGTGTATGTGTGTGGTTGGGCCAGGTTTAGGCTACCTAATGGCTAGGCCTAAGCTCAGCCAAAAAATAAAAAAGCTCAACTTCTTGGGCCTGAGCTTAGCTCGAGGACCAAAAATTGAAGCCCAACCTATATAAAATTTCAGACTGGGCCCACCCAAGTTATACCCCTACTTGGAGGGTATCAATTACCCAAATAATTGACTCTATGGAAAATCCGCTTACTATGGGACCTAGTATAATGACATAAGAACATAAGAATCACGATCAATTACCCGGTTGACCAACTTACCCAATAATAAACGAATGGGGCCTTAAGGCTAACTTTGGGGAAAAGATAATTGGGGCATTTTTCCTTTTTTTTTCTAATTATTTCAACTCTTTTGTCCAAATTAATAATCATAAAACATCTCGTTGTGGGAATCCACAGACCTCACTGTAGCTTTTTTTTTTATTTGAACAATCAGAAGGCATAGAATGGTTGCTCATAAAAAAGGGTTTTTGCAGGATTAATTGTTTCTGTTATGAGCAATGTTTTTAACCCGTGGTCCTGCCCAAATGGTTGGATCATTCAATCCACCACCTAGCCACATTACTTTCCATTTCACCATGAACCATGCAGTTATCAGAAAACATTGACTTGGTAAACAATCTAATGACTTAATTTGCTGGTTGAATAGCTGAATCCTTCAATCCGATCAGCAGCTCATGAACCTGTTTTTTTTTTAAGTTTTAGCTAATAATTCATTTTCATCATATTTATTCTATTTAAAATATTGGATATATAGCATGTGTCCAATTTTCACAGATTTTTGTAATTTTTCATTT